TTTCTTCTGGATGCATTTCTATCTTTAAGGGAGCATACATTGTGATATTCCTTCTGCACGCACTTTCACTAGTTGACAACAGATTATCCATTTCTAAAAACCGTCTCTGTTTTTTAAACAGGTTTCTACAACTTTAACTTTTATGTAATTCCATACTTTCTGTACTCGGTATAACTAATGGTTCGCATTTATTGCTGTTTTATGTTACCGTAATAGTCTGGCATAGTTACAGACAGACCAGGTCTGATGATCTGTTCTCAGGTTTCCTTGTGACAGTAACATGGGATCTGTGGGATGAATAAAATAGTCTAGTCATCTCTTCTTCTTCTTCTTCTTCTTCTTCTTCTTCTTCTTCTTCTTCTTCTTCTTCTTCTTCTTCTTCTTCTTCTTCTTCTTCTTCTTCTTCTTCTTCTTCTCCTCCTCCTCCTCCTTCTCCTCCTTCTTCTTCCCCTCCTTCTTCTTCCCTCTTCTTCCCTCTTCTTCTTGGTCGTCTGCGCATTGATGGGTTGTGAAATGCGGCGAAAAGACTGGTTGTTTGTCTACTACTGGACTTAAGTCTTTTTCCAGGGCTTGTGTTTTTCTAGAAAACCAATCTAGAATGTAACGTAATTTCTGAAGAACTGACTTAGCATTGCTTAGTTAGTTGTAGATCCTTTACAATCCTCAGAATGCGTTGGCTGTTTGTAAGTTATCTACACATTTCATGTTCAGTAGTTTTACCACTACGTTATTGACCGTTCGACGCTTATAGCCTTGTTTAAATTAACGCAGAATTTCTGCAGCCGGATCATTTCGGAAGTAAGAAACCACATTTGTAACCTTTAAGCCATGGATACCAATGACACTGAAGCACAGTAAAGTGTAGGGAGGTAATACTGGACGAACAGAAACATTTGGAGAACGTGATAACGTGCGCAGAAAAGTCAAGAGAATTGATACAAAGATTACAGATAGTTGTATATCCTTTCTTTACAGGACGTCGCAACTAACCCTAACATTGACTAAAGTGAACTCTAAATCTTAGAGGACATATATTAAGCTAAAGATGCACAGTAACATCTCAGCTGGTTTTTGAGTGCACACTCACTCACAGACCTTGATAACATGTATAGGGGTACCAGCAAGAGAGGATAACTCAGCAGCTTTGGGACATCCAATAACAACAACAAAGATGGGAATTCAAACATGGTTAACTTACATCCGAACCAAGTCGGAAGTTTCGATCAAAAGGTGTACCTATTATGCTGTGTGACTCATCATATATTAATCGGTCACTTCTCACATTATTTTCTCCCAGGCCATACATAGCCACCCGCTATTCCGTACACCTTTCCACATACATTTGTACTGGATTAAATTAGCTCTATTATGATAATATGCCTCCGCACCTCCACTGGTGTTAGGCATTTCATTGTCAACTGGCTCTAACTTAGCGCGCTTAGGTCCCCATGTGTGTGTGTGTGTGTGTGTGTGTGTGTGTGTGTGTGTGTGTGTGTGTGTGTGTGTGTGTGTGTGTGTGTGCCTGTAGGTGTGGATATATGGGGTTAATCCACTGCTTGTTGCAAGAGTCGGGTAATCAATTAGGGCTTGCCTTCGGAGTTCAGTGCATCTGCATGAGAGGCAATGAATAACAGTCTGCATATGGAAAAAGCTAGAACTGTAAAACAGATATGCACGGAAACCTCAAGTTCTTGAACGAGACTGAATTCCAAAAGACCAAAAACGAGTGAACAGCCGGTGAACGTTGAGAAGAAGTGTCCATAGAGAATGGAACGTTTTGGACATAACAAAACCTGTTTTGCTATGAGTGGTTGCAGTTGTGGCCTGTGACAAATGACATTGCCGTGAAATAACAAAGTGGCTGACACGTTTAAAGCAAGGTGCGAGTTACCCTTGCGCCACAAATTAATTTGTTGTATGAGGGATTAGTGTGACAGCTTCCTAATTAATGCTAGCTTTATCGACGCGGCTTTACGCCTAAGACCGGGCCTCTTCGTTCGTCGTTGCTGGCCGCATTCACGAATCAGGGCGGCGACAACCAACCTAATTTGCGAACTGACGCAGTTAGTTCAGCAATATATGTGCACCTCATCCCCGGTTAACTCTTGTCTGGCGACGGGGACTTGTCGCGCGGGTCACGGATTTATTGGGCAGTTTTAACATCGACTTCTTGAGAAATTCAGCGATCAGTGGAAAGGATAATTCTTGGTGTTTAGCCCAGGTGTATGTAGATCGATGGTGTATACATATAGGGTTTATTCTTTTCTGTGGTAGTTACACAGGTGGTGACATAACTGGTGGGGCTTAGAACATAAAGGGAAACGAAATTGGGGCGTTTTGAATTTGAATGTTATAGTTTTCTTCTTCTTGTTGGAATAAGGCGAAAATAAAAACAAATATACAGACATTTCACAAGACCGGAACACGAGAGATATCCGGCTTATAAGCAGTGTTAACTTGGAAAACGTAAATAGTGTGACAACATTAAACATCACAGCAGCTTAGAAAGAACAGGAACAGAAGGCGTGATTCATAAAAGAGACACGGACCGTTAACTTGCTGGACTCGGCTTGCGCTTGAAAATGCAGGAAACGGGGAAAAGGAAAAGACAGACAGAGAAGTTTCGTAAAGAATTGCAAACTGTTCGCAGCGGAACTCGAACCCTAGTAATCGAGGATCGTAAAGTTAATTGCATTCGTTAACCACTTAGTCACAGAGCCGCAAAGACTGCGTAGACCAGGCAGTCGAGCTGAGGGCCCGTCCCCTGAGGGCTGTGGTCACATTTTGTTGTCATGGAGGCCACGAACGACAACTAATTGGGGTCGCCCTTTAATGAATGTCGGCTCTGTGGCTAAGTCGATGCGAACGCTTCGTAATGCCGGGGTACCGGGTTCGATCCCAGCTGCGGGCCCAGCGCCTTGCATTGGTTTCGAAAGTGGTGTCAGTGGGATGACCGTCCAGGAAGCAGTGGCAAACTACTGGACGTAAATTGCTTAGAGAAACCACCCAACAGCCAGGGGCTGCTTGGGTTGGTTCTGCAACGTCCTGTAAAGGATACGCAACATACCTAGCCTTTAATAAACATTATTGCAAAATGTTTCCTATGTGCTGGCCGCAGGTGTGCTTGAAATTACCGCATGCAGCCCGCCAGTTTGGTATGCTTGCCATAGACTAGTACTAGTCAACTGGCGGCCCGCGAGGACTAGCAAGTGGCCTACGGATCATTGGCAGTTGTATTAATGATCTTTCTATGCTAGGGCTTGGCTCTGCGGCCCGTGAAGACCTCTCTCTCTCTCTCTCTCTCTCTCTCTCTCTCTCTCTCTCTCTCTCTCTCTCTCTCTCTCTCTCTCTCTCTCTCTCTCTCTCTCTCTCACCTTCCCCCCACCTCCGCGTGGACAGTCACCCGACACTGGATACACACATACTTGTTGACCGCTCCTGGTGGCTCTGGAGTATTCTTAGATAAGAATACAATCTTTAGATATGCTCTGCTAATTCTGGAGCCGCTCTAATGTAGTGGCTAGACGTTCGCCGTCTGATCTAAATGTCTGGATTTTTAGTCCGCATCCATTCGATTTTTAATGGACCAAAATTGACCTGTCTTAAAATAGATGCCAGGTAATATTTGGAAAATAACGGCGGCCCGTGTGATGTTGAGCACATTACACACCAAGTGTTCATTGGTCTATACACAGATGTCTACCATCATATTCCTGTGCGCCACTGGTTTAAAAAGGGTCATTGACTAACTTCACACAAAATGCCCTTAAAAAGGGTAATCGGTTTACTTTACAAAACTTGCCTATGTCTTGAAGGACGTAACAGAACCAACGCTAGCATTTATGCCTTTGGTCATACTAGGAAGTTTTAATTTCAGTAGTTTGCCACTCCTTACTGAATGGTCGGCTTTCTGTGAGGGATGATTAGTAAACGCCTAAAACACAGAAGCCGACACTCTACTTACTACTTACTTACTGCTAATTCTCTCGCCTCCCCGACAGTTGCGCTACGCAGTTTTGACTTTCAAAGCATGTGTAACACACAACTTTCTCACGATTTAAGCCGATGTGACTATCGCCGTTGCTAAACACTCCCCCACCCCTTCCTTATGTCATAGAGCCAAGTCAGTTATTTAGTTGATTAGTTTGTATGTTAGATTGTAAGGTTTGTATGTGCGTTATTTCATGCATGTGTAGTTTTTGGGTGTGAATAGTTTAGGCTATCGATAGGTCATTTTATTTGATCCTAAAGAGCCAGCTCTGTATCTGTCTAGATACAACTCTGATCCTGGCTATTCGTATATCACAGTAAAAGGTGTACCTGGCTGTTCATGCTAAACTCTGTATATGACTGTCTAGACCCAGCTGCATATATGTCTGTCTGCATATATGTCTGTCTAGACGCTTCTCTGTATGTAACTATGTGTCTGTTTAGAAACAATTCTACTACATATGACTCTAGACACAGCTTTATATTTGTCTATTTAGACACAACTCAATGTATGACTGTCTAGACACAGCTGCATTTGTCTGCTTAGACACAGCTGTACAGTCTAGACACACCTATATATGTGTCTATTTATACACAGCTCTATATTTGACTGTCTAGTCTCAAACATATAATTAACTAGACACAAGATGATGTAACTAGAGAGTGTGTATGGCTAATTATATTTCCTCATGTGGTTTTTTCCCCTATCCCATGAAACTCACAGATGAGGAATGTGTTGTTCTTAAATCCGTAAACCTGTAACGATAGCGCTACGAAACAGTTCACCGGACATTAAAAGGCAACTTTCTGTAAGTTGTTACATCGTCCGCCCATCGCCTCTTTGGCAGCAAAAGTAGATCGTGTTCATTGTCATCGGAACCGAGTGTCTAAACATTTTGCCTGTGTGGAAATATTCGTAAACGTGCAACTGTTAGCCGAGTTTGAGAGTTCTACACAAGAACCATGTGCGTCAGCGAACCGCTGTAGCAGGACTGCCCAGGGCCAGTCACATGGTGTTGTTGGACAGTATGTGCTCAACGTGCAGCAGTCTGCTGCTGGACAAAATGGCGCCAGCCCTGTCTATATGTTCCTGCTTGTTCCCGGAGCCTTGTACCATCGGATGCGTGCTGGACCTGCTGCCTGTAAGTATACAACCATTCTTCTCTTATGTGCACACATTGTCTGCCAAGCGACTCGACTCGCCCATACGGTGGCAACTTTCTACTAACTAGTAGGTTCAGCACCTTCTGTTTTCTGTTCTCCATTCACATACAACTATCGCTACCAGTTTGATGGTAATTATTATTTGAATCAGAACAGTGTTACTTATCTGTCTTTAAAATATCCCAATTCTTCGTTTTCTCTTCCACCACTTTACTTCCGATTGTGGGGGGGGGGGAGGGGAGATCGTTTATGCGCTTTTCCCAGTGCATTGTACATGTTGGTGTTCATTTCTGTTAGATTTCCGCTCCATGAATTGCGCGGTCTTCCCCTTGATCTGTAATCATTATATTTCTTCAGTATGGCTGGCTCTCTGTGGCAGTTGGTACCAGGGCATTCTCCTCAAGTGGCCAAACCATCTAACCATTTCATTTTTTGTTCTTTAATGAAGTGTATGACTGGTTCAGTCCGAGCCTTCTTCTGATTTCTTCATTCTTGATTGTATCTCTTGTCACACCGACAGCTCTCCCAAGACATCTCATCTCTATTATGATCTTCCGCTCATTAGTTGTAGTAAGGGTCCATGTTTGGCATTGGTAGCACAATGTCGGCCAAAAAACCATTCTTATGAGATTTGCTTTTGTTGACAGAGGTGTCTTTCTATGCATCAGAAGCGGTGATAAGTGTCTCCTAACCTGATTTGCTTTCGCACATCGTATGTTTATTTCTCTGTCTATTCTTCCATCTGAGGTGAAAAATGTCCCTAGATATTTAAGTTCGCTTGTTTTTGTTTTTTACTTTAATTGATATGGTTTCTTTTTGTCTACCGATATGGTTTCTTTTTGTCTACCTATTACCATTACATCTGTCTTATAAATGCTTATCCTCGTGTTATATTTCTCACACTAAATATTAACTTGGTTTATATAGTTCTGTAAACTCTTTTCAGTTTCCGCTATTAATACTTGGTCCTTTGCAAATAACAATTCTGAGATATCATTTTCTTAGCTGTCTGCTTCTTTACATATATTGTCGATGTATGTTATAAAAGGCAAGTGAGATAGCACGTATCCATTTCTTACTCCTGAATTTACTTCAACAGGTTGCAGTGTACCTGCTTTTTGTTCGTATGCAACTTTTGATGGATATATACAAGTTTTTACACACTTCATTTAGATGTTTGCTGTTTCCCAATCTCCTGAAGCAGTTGTACAACATTTTCCTATCCACTCTGTCAGATGCTTTTTTCCTGGTCTTTAAATGCAACTTTGCATGTCTTTATCATACTCTGTTGCTCTTTCTGTCAACTGTTTTAATGTAAATATTGCGTCTGGTCAGCTTCTGTTTCGTCTGAAACCAGTCAGGGCTTCCAAAAGTTATCCTTCTACTAATGGTAAAATATCCTAATTAAACAGTCTTAATTTCACGCTGATTGCAAGAACTTTTCAAAATTAAGTCACTCTAATTCACATATTTTTAAATTTTATGAATTAACTACTCAAAAACTGAGATCTTAGTTTTTAAAATTTCAGTTCATTAATGCTTACAGTTTCATAAATTAATGAAAGTAAGTTAAACTCGGCGGGCGCAGTACTAACAACGTCACCAAATGAGTGTTCACCGGTCCATAAATCTGAGCCTAGCGCCAAGACACAGGATTGTTCATTTCAGCGAATAGTTTCATGAGTAATTTGTAATGAACAGGTCGTCACTCATAGATGCAGGTGAAATTTCCCCCTAAAGGCATGTTAGTTGATGTTTCATGTTCTGTTATTCAACACGTTGTAAGTTTGTAGCAACTTATAAGGTCATACAATTAACAGTTCATCATTTACGTTTCATATTCAGCTTATGCCAAACTTGACATTCCTTTTGTGACAAAGGCTTCGGGCGGAGGGACACTCTAGGGCAGGGCAGTTTCAACTGGTAGCCTGCGGAAGCCTAGCAAATGGCCCACAAATCATTGGCCAGGGCTCATGACTCTGGTCCGTGTCGATCCACATGTTAGAAATGTTGGCCCCTGAGTAAACTTAGATAGCCCTGCTGTAAGCAAAATACCAGCATTATCCTAGAAAGAGGAAATGCAGCATGAAAAGGTCATGTTATGGTAGGGCAGACCAGTCCTTAGCATTGGTTGGCACCTATTTGTGAGGAGAAACTCCTACAGGAGGACAGACAGAGCACTTCTTTACTGACCTAACAGCTTTTCCTGAATGTTATGTTCCAAACGTATTTGTTTTAATCTTTTCTTTAGAGGTAGCGAAGCAGGCGGAATATGGAATCATGCTTCATGGATAATACAATATTCCTACATACAATACTGCATATGCTTTGTGGTATAGAAAGGAGGAGTTCGTCTATTACCTCAAATCAATGTTACCTAAACTTTTTTTTGGAAGAGGGGGGGGGGGGGGGGGGGCCCACTGCTCCCTATTTCACCATTTCAGTATATAAAAATAAAAACCCCGCTAGCACACCTTCCCTGGGAAATAACGTAGGTATGTTTGATGTTGATAAGCATAAGTGGTCATGATTCGCCATCATACACGATCAAACAGAATCACGGATGAGGTCAGTGCTCTTGTCACACCCTATGCATGTGGCCAAGCCATCAACATATTTTACTCCTTGTTTTCCCCTTACCCTGTGTCCATCAGTTTGACCAGTTGTCACCAAGTGCTCGAGTCTGTTCCCTGCCTTGAGATATACTTTGTCTATTCGAACAACTGAAAGGATGCAATATTTTTATGTCGTCTTACGTCTGTGGTCTGTAATGTGTATGCTCTCTCCAGTTAAGTCTCAGTTTCAGTTTTAGATCATGATGGGGCTGCATTGGGTTCCCTGTAGCCTTCGTGAGTTCACCTGCCCTTCTGTTTCAAGGGATACCAAACGAGGCTGGACGGAATTCACACAAATATTAGGGTTCTTAACATTTGTAACATCTCATTATCAATTTCAACCTAAGTACACATGTATGATATTGTCGGGGCAGACTTCAGTCAAGAAGATCAACCTGTGTATAGGCGATAGTTTTAACGCTGAAACATTTACCTGTTGGATTAATAAGTTCGACAATCCTCAGGCAATTCGCGATCTTGGCTGTGCCTTAATCAGATTTAGATCTTAATATTTTGCATTGCAACTGGGTGACTAAGCATCACACTTTCTGTATAGTCCATGTTAGCTTGAGATCTGCCACTGTTTCTCTGGTTTTTTCTTTTCATATACAGTTTGTACAGAAGGCCGTGTTAGCTTGCGACCTGCTGCTTCTGAAGTTGTCTTTCTGCTGAGTGATTAGGCAACATACTTTCTGTTTAGAAGTCCATAACGCATGCCCGCTAACTAGCATGTCGTAAAAGTCGACTGATTAGGGGTGTTTTCCAAAAAACAAAGAATCAACAATCAAGTGAATACAAGTAAGCTGTAAAAGGAATGTGCACGCAAACCGGACAAGACTGGCTTTAATGTTGTCGAACAAACATAACCTTCCGCCGGAGTTTACAGCCGGTAAACTCACAGGAGTAGTCGGCGTCTTCTCAAATACTGGTTGTTACATGACGTTTAGGTATTTGAGAACCTGTGGTGTCTCGGACCTCACGACGATCACACACATGAGTCTCCTCGTGCGAGACCACGTGTGATCAGCTGAGCAGTGCTGGGCCTTATACTCCCAGTGCTGCACTTTATATTCCCAATGCTGGACCTTATATTCCCAGTGCTGCACCTTATATTCTCAGTGCTGCACCTTAAATTCCCAGTACTGGACCTTATATTCCCATTGCTGGACCTTATATTCCCAGTGCTGGACCTTATATTCCCAGTGCTGGACCTTGTATTCCCAGTGCTGCACCTTATATTCCCAGTGCTGGACCTTATATTCACAGTGCTGGACCTTATATTCACAGCGCTGGACCTTATATTCCTATTGCTGCACCTTATATTTCCAGTGCTGCACCTTATATTCCAAGTGCTGCACCTTATATTCCCAGCGCTGCACCTTATATTCCCAGTGTCCGACCTTATATTCCCAGTGCCCGGTACTCTTCATTGAAAGTATTTGTGCGTATGCGCGCCAGTGATTCTTGGCAGATGGGAGAATGTAAGAGACTGTGTGTGTGTGTGCGTGTGTGTGCGCGCGCGCGCGTGTGTGTGCGCGTGCTCGATGTGGATTTGTTGCTTGCCGACATCAGGGGTAGGTGCATTATAAAGTGTCATAGTCACCGGGCATTAAAACATTTTAGAATTTAGAACTGTACACGTAAATGGTCTTCTTCTTCTTCTTCTTCTTCTTCTTCTTCTTCTTCTTCTTCTTCTTCTCTTCTTCTTCTTCTTCTTCTTCTTCTTCTTCTTCTTCTTCTTCTTCTTCTTCTTCTTCTTCTTCTTCTTCTTCTTCTTCTTCTTCTGCTGCTGCTGCTCCTCCTCTTCCTCCTCCTCCTGTTGTCTCCTTCTGCTTCATCATCGTTCATTATAATTCATCATCATGTTTTGTCGTTCATATTCAAGTTGAGAAATTTTAATGAGCGCGGTCTTGTGTCCTTTATGTACACATTTCTATACTATCAGTTCCCATACTAGAGCTTTATTCGATTCTCTTAGCACAGTGGACTCGAACCCACCACACACCCGATACCTGCCCACCACCTGTCAGTCTAAAACGGTTAATCAAATTATGTATGCAGGCGGTGACAAATGTGGCATTTCTCTAAGTACCCTAACTGCGATTATCACATAACAGTGGACACGTCAGCCAAGTTGACATCAGACGTCGTTAGATGTCACATTGCCAAGAAAAGACTAAAACTGTACTAAGATTTGTGACAATGGGAATGCAGACCAAGGGAACATAAAACCTCTAGCACGCCAGTCAGCACACAGGGCAGCCAGGCCCATAAATAGCACCTTTCTTGTTTAATATCACTTTTGTTTCCTTAAAACACTTGATTATTTTCGGCATTAAGTGTAGAATGCGGAAAGACCAAGC